CCAAACTTGTCTTTGAGAAACATAGAGTAGCTGAGATTTGTTGGAGTTAACCGTGCACGTTGTTTTCGATGTAAATAGCTAGCAATACTAAAACAACTTTCACTCGGAACAGATGTCGCAGGAGCAGACAAAAATTGTTTGGCTAATTGAACGAGTAGAGGTAATTGATAACTATTTGTTAGCCAAAATTTTAATATATCCTGAGATTTTTCATGATCAAGAACACAGGTACTTTCCAACATTGCTGCTGAACGATATATTTGCAATTCATTATCTATTGATGATGATGCTGTAGGCTTTCTCGAATTTTGTAAAGTTGTTGTACCGGCTGCAGCTAGAAATTCTCGAAAAACAGATCTTTTACAGTTTATAGCTGTTTTTCGATGCTGTTCCGATGGTGGTGAGCGAGTGGTAGTCGACGAATTTGGTGAAATTATGTTTCTGTTGTTCTCTTTATTAGCCCCGTCACATATATCATTTATTAAACGACGTATTTCGCGTTCTGCTAGTGAACGTTCACTTCGAGTCAAAGCTGAGTATCCCAAAGGATTGAAATATGCATGTAACTAAAAAGGAAGGATGATCAAATCCAAATTACTCAGTGGATTTGTGTGGTGTGATTCCTAGTCAAGACTTAATTTCTATTAACTTAGTAAACTAGTCTTTTTTAAGTAATAAACTTTTCATCAATTGAAAGCAACTTTAACACCTTTTATTCTAAACTGTGCTAGTACGCGGCTATATGCATTTAAAATCTGTGCTTTTTTAAACCCTGGTGAGCTTTGACGAGGAAATCTCTCGAAGCGGCACACTCCATTTTCAATGAATTGAGTATCGTTCGACGGAGGATCATGAGTCAGCGAAAATTCTAAACGGATTCGACCCATGTCGCTTCTTTTATGAAGATGTTTCATGTTTTTCCTTAGAGAAACTCAGAAAAATAAGAGATTTCATATCTGTTGTTTAGACACGTAGTGGGAGGCTGAAATTCTTTCTACAATTCGACTGATGATTTACTAACCTACCTAAAAATTTCAGCTCTTCATCTCCTTCCAATCCTGAGTTATTGAACTTTCTAAATTATCCATAGGTTTGGCTTTATTCTCTCTCACAATGGAAGCTGTAAATTTCTTAATTTCTTACCAAAGCAATTGAAACTCTCAAACTAAGTTGCTTTTAATGTCTTATCTCTATTCGAAAACACAAAAATTACTTTACAGTTGAGCATGAGCACACAGTTTCGAGAGACTTCCTTAAAAACTTGGTTCCAGAACTTCAAAATTATGTTATCTGAAAGACTGTATTCCAGTCGAAAGTATTTCAGTTTGCAAGTATCAGTTGTATGGATAACGAATTAACGATTTTATATCCCTTTCGTTTTTCAAGAGCAAATCTATGGAGGACTGAAAAAATTCACTAACTTAGCAACGGAAAAAGATGAAATGTTGAAACTTTCAGCAGTGTTAGTAGACTATTAGTTAAATTGCACAAAAAAATTTTCAGCCTTCCGCTACGTGTCTAAACAGAAATACGAATCTCTTATTTTTCTGAATTTCTCTAAGTAAAAACATGAAAAATCTTCGTAGCTTTAAAAGAAGCGACATGGGGTCGAAATCCGTTTAGGATTTTCACTTGCTCAGCATCCTCGATCGATCGATACTTAACTCATTGAAAATGGAGTGTGTCACTTCGAGAGATTCCATCGTAAGAGAAAAAAATTCCAGTAGAAGAGCCGTTGAGTCAGTCTTTGGAACTAACGTTGATTATTTCATGGAAAAAATTTATCTTACTTGAATTAATTCAAGTTGTTGTCTGTCTTGATAAAAATATTTATCCAATTGTTTTAGTAACATTTTTTCAATGCATTTAATTGATGCTCGTCTGTATGATGATCTGTAAGACATTCTTTTATAACATTGATTGTATAATAAGCAGCTCCAATTGTAGCATATTCTCTACCGGATACAATTTTAGTTGCTCCATAAAATAATTTTAAAACATTTTGAATTGTTTCAAGCAATGCCCATTTGTCTGTGGTCATATCCAAATTTCCAAGTCTTGTCCGTTGTTCAGGTTTAATCTGCAAACCATTTTTGTCATTATGAAGAGCAATGATTACATTAAAAATGTTTCCATCATATAAAAACTTGAATTCCATCTGTTCTTTACATCTAATGATAATGATCTTTTTATTCCAAATTGTATTTTTGCTTTCGAAACATAGTTTGGTAGAATTGATGATCTAAATGATCCACAAAATAGTAAGCTTTAGTTGCAGTTAAGGTTCATACAATGGCAATATCAAAGCCGGCCTATCCAATAAAGGGGGCCCTATAACTTAAAGAGCTAGTTATTTCGTGATATGAAACGGCTAGATGTGGATATAACTAGTAAAGCGAATTTCAAAATTTTTCAAACAAAAAAAACCAGAGAATCGAGAGTTCTCATTTCTGTTTCCTTAGAAGATTTTCTAACTATTTAAAATTCTTCTCAAATTTGTAAAAATATAAGAATGGAAGTCTAAGACTAACGTTCTGCTCTATGCAGTTATTGCTCTAAGCACCTACGCTAAATTTAAAAAATATTTAGGTTTTTTGTGCTGTAGATAGACAGAAGAGTTTCGCAAGTCGGAGCGAACCTTTAAAAGTTCAGAATTATGATTCTCTCTGTACCTAGTTATCATTTTTATCAGATTTCGCATTTTTTCAATAACGCTACTAATATTTTCTTCTTCAACTGTCAAATATTGAGCCATTTCACTATCCTCATCAATTACGTCAAACAGTTGAATAAGCAGCTAAGCATCGCTCGAACATCAGCTGTTCTTCTTTTAGCCACACACACACACTATCCTATGTTGCCGAAAATGGAGAAAGGAAAGAAAAAATTCCCTCTTTTTCTTTCAACGGAGACAGACAGTAGCACTCTTTTCACATCTAGTCATCACATCACACAACAACTGCAAGACACACAAAAAGTGGAAGAAGATAGCCATGTGAGTGGTGAAGTGAGACATCTGCGAAGTCGTAGAACATTTTTTCTTTCCTTTCTCCATTTTCGGCAACATAGGATAGTGTGTGTGTGTGGCTAAAAGAAGAACAGCTGATGTTCGAGCGATGCTTAGCATCGCGAATACAGAAAAAATAACAAAGAAATAACAAAAAATAGATTACAAACACAACGATATTTTTTTATATCAAAAGTAATAGCAAGGCGAGAACAAACACCTAAAAAACAATAACACAAAAAAAGAACGATCTATTTTATTGTACAAACACAGATCGGCGTGGCCTACAGAATTATTCTACTTGCGGACTTTTGATCGATGTAAATTTGAGCGGACTTACGCGGAAGTTTCCACACAGCCAAGAGAAACGCTCGGATTACGAAACCTTCCAATATTTTCTATTAACATAAAAGCACAGTTAGCCCTTTTCTCACGCTTCACCTCTACCACACATTATAATAAAACGTATAAACGGTAACGGTAAACGGTAAAACAAATATGAAAAAAGTAGCAATCGACGTTGATGAGGAAAGAAAATAACTAATTAAATAGAAATAATTTTGCCATTTATATTTCATTCACTGCACAAGCAAGGCTAAAATTAATTAAGGCTAAATTAACATTAAAATTAACAGGCATAAAATTAACGGTAATTTAAGAGATATAATTAATATTGGACTTATTATTAAGTCTTTATGTAATACAAATTGTTTTTTCAGGTTATTCATACGCATTCTTCTTTCGGTCAACGTTGACTTTTTTTAGCGAAACAAATTAACAATACAATAGCTGATAAAAGATTAATGAAAAACGGACAATTGAGTTAAATACATTTATTATTTTTTCATACATTTTCAAGAAACTATTACTGTACTTAACAA